TAACAGATAAGGAACTCGTGGTACTACTGTTCATCCAGTATTATTAGTCGCAGAAAATTCTGAAAGGTTAACTGGCAGATTATTTATTTTTCAATTAGCAACCAAACCAAATAACCTCTCAGAAAATTTTCCAAGAAATTGCGACTATTAATATTGGAAGAACAGTAGTAAATACCGAATGGTAATGGTTAATTACGTTATATTTATTTTACTCAAACGTACCGATTTGGTAACAGTCTTGGTAAATCTTGGTACGTGGTAAATCGTCCGGTAAACGATGTTTTTATGGCTTTATAAATTTAATGAGTTGAAAATACGAGTATTTAATCGATGTGTTGTCCGAATTTTCCAGGTCGAGTTTTTTATCACATGGTAAAAACGTTTGGTAAAAGTTGGTAAAATTTCCATTGTCAAAGTCAACATGTTCATATTGTCTTCGTTGTTGGTACATTTTTACCAAATTATTCCAAGTGCTACATATATTTATAAAATAAGCCTACAACTTACACGGCTTGAATAAATTGGATGTAAAAGATCTAACAGTGACATTCACCAAGAACCCAACCGTAACAATAGAGTGATCGGTTTTATGTCCATGTGAGATTAAATTTGCGGACAATAATACCCCGACAATTCTCCCCCCAACTTTTCCCAACAACGGTGGAGGATAAGCTTATTACGTTCAGAAGAAAATGGATCAAGAAACCTTGCAATTTTTTTACAGAAAAATAAAATCCATTCGAAATCTGCACAAACAAAGGCTCTTCCAGAACAAGAAACCTTTCAAAAGTAATGAAACGGATTTAAGTAAAGGTAAAAAAGATTTCGCAACATGAAAACAAAATCCTAACCCACGCCGTAAAGATGACAATGGGAATATTATTCAGAAATCAAAGGCGTATGTATGTACATACGATATAAAAATACGTACAAAAATTTCTATAAAAATTTACCACCTGTCGTAAAAAAATTGGAATGAAGTGAATAATAATTTTCAAAATTTTAAATTTGTACACAAGCCGAAAATTCAAATTACCTGTTGTACTAAAATTAATAAAATATTTTTACCAAAAACAATTATTAACGGTACGAAAATTCATCAGATTTCAAAACATTGACATATTCGAAACTTCATCAGATTTCAAAACATTGACATATTCGAAAATTATCTGTTACAATTATTAAAATATTTTTACCAAAAACAATTATTAACGGTACGAAAATTCATCAAATTAAAAAAATTGTAAATATAGAACAATTTGTAACAATTAAATCACTCAATCAAATTCCAAGCCTTTCCTTCTCTGAAATTCCTCCAACTTTTCAAAATCTACAATTTCCTATTATTTTTTACACTTTATTCATACCTGAATTTATTTCCCACCCACATTATTTTATTTATTTACTTTACTACACGCCCACGCCCACCAACAAATCAACCTTGAAACGTTACTCAACCAAATTCTTAACCTCACGAGAATACATAACGAGAACACACATAAATTAATTAATTAACTGACAATGAGACGACAAACTCAATTCAGTCGAGATTGCGACCAGAGAACAGATTGACATTCGCGATTTGATTGTGATGAACGTTCCACTTTTGTGGTGTGGTCTTGTCAACTTAATTAAATTACTTAAATTCCCTTAATTAATTATTATCGGGTTGACAAGTGTCCTCCTTACGTGAGGTGAAGCGGACGATAAATAAATAAGAAAATTTGTGGAAACATAAATCGAGCCATAAATCAATTAATTTTACTTAAGTCATATCTAAGATTCAGGGTGCTACTCATCTCAGCACATTATTTTAGAACAAACTCAGCTCAAATTTATCTCCGGAGTTGAAGATGTGCAAAAAATCGTCTTGTGTTGCACTTAATTTCTCTCAAGATGTCAAAAACAGAAAGATTTGCCACTTAATATCAATAATACTATAAGTCAGTGTCCAGGTTTGCAAAAAAAATAGCGCTCCATTTAGAGACGTTACTAAATTTGCAAAAAAAACGCCATTCTCAAAGTATTATTGTCTAGAATCTACTCAATTTGCTAGATTTTTGCGAATGTTTGCCAAAATTTTATTAAGCTTGACGTGAATATGCACAAAATCTTCATTCTAAAAATATTATTGTTTGAAATGTGTTTAATTTGCAAGATTTGTGCGAATTTTTTCCAAAATTGGATTTCCCTTGACGTGAAATATAGTATCTAAGAATGTATTCAATTTACCAGATTTTTTCAAATGTATCTCACAATTTTATTATCTTCGACGTGAATATACTCCCCCAAAATTTTCCTTTGATCTTACCTGCTTATAAACTCGAAAAACTCTCCTTAAAAAGCAAATATGTACCTCAGCCGTGTAAACGTGAAAAGTTTCGATCTGGTAAAATTCCACCGATTTCACACTTTGAGCACGAAAGCAAATTGCCGTGATGCTTTACCACAAACAGGTGAATGCAGACTGACTTTGTATTCCGACTTGGACGTGATATTAAAGAAAGGAAAAAGTCCACAAGGAAATCGAAACCGAGTTAAAGTAAAGTAAAGCTCGATTCGAGAGGTCTTCTATAGAATTGGAAAAGGAGAAGGAGAAGAAGAAGGAAACGGAGAGAATAATACGACCATACGCGTCAAATAAGATGTAAAGAAAGCACACAAACAATTCTTCTTGCCTCGCGGAGGAAAAGAAAGAAAGAAAGGAAATTAATCTCGAGCAGGATTTAGGAGAAAGTTGGGCTAAAAAGGTAGCCTACTTTCACCAATGTTGGGATTACGTAGGTGTACTGATCGAATGGTCAGTCTCACTTTGGCCGAGACAGAAATTCAAAGGAAATCTGGTTCGGAACACAAATTTTATAAATCAAAATTCCCACGGAAATTTATTCGGAATTACGAATTTCCATGGTCAAATATTCCCCAATGTTCTGTTCTCCATACAAAATTCGAAATCAATTTTAGTTAGAAAATCAAATTCCCTCGGAAATATTAAAAATTCAAAGGAAATCTGGTTCGGAACCAATTTTATAAAATTCCCGCCGAAATTTATTCCGAATTACAAATTCCCCCGGTCAAATATTCCCTAATGTTGAGCTCTCTATCCAAATTCAAAATAATCGGTTCGGAACCAATTTTACTTCACTTTACTTAAATCAAATTCCCCGCCGAAATATATTCCAAATTACGAATTCCCGCAAATTCGTAGGACTCTGAAATCAATCTAGTTCTAAAAGGGAAATCAATTTTATTCCAAAATGTAAATTTTCTCGGAAACATTGTCCTTTTTCATTTCTATTTATTTATGCAAACTAACCCCATCCTTGACACGAAATAGAGACAAGCAACAATTCCGAACGGGGTAGAGTAGAGTCTACTCTATTCATTTCGAAGAATGAAATCCACGACAGCTTGACTGACACGGCGACATGTGTGACCTTTTCCGATTCAATGCATAAGAATAAATAACAATTCGATCTCTGACTAAGTTGACTTTTACTGGACAATGTGCTTTCACCCGTTTGGTCGTCTCCGCTAGAACGTACACTCTTAAAAATTGGGGGTCAAATTGTGACGGATGGGTTTTAGCACAACTTTTTTTAACAGAAATCTACGCGTTTAGACTAGATTTTTGCTACACTGTAAATAAAACTTGTCGAGATTTCGCAAAAATTTTGCTAGAAAACCATCCGATTTTTTTCTCAAATTTACCCAGCAAGTGAGCATGTGTTTATATGTATATCGTAAGTAAGTAGATTTGCGAAATATACGTCATATTCTGCGAACCCCATCACGAGATAAATTTTTCGAGCTTTGCAAATCTGCTAAATGAGTTGCGATGCTAAATACTCAAGACGTCGTAAGTATGCCCATTGTTAATTTGGTATAGTTATTCGCCACGAAATAAAAATTTGCCACCCTTTTTGGCAATTACGCGAAAATTATTGTCAATTTGTTACATATACCAATTATTACCAGATTTGTAAGTGTGTGTAAAAGCCCAACGTCATCTCCATGATTTACACATTTTACCATTTATTCCTGGCTGCGGGGTCGGGACATGGCGACAATACTGACAACAACAACAACATCAAACAAAAGTGTGCAAAAACGAGATGGGTCCGGGAAATGAGAGGAGAGATGACACAAACATGAACAAAACATGAGACGAGCCACACCATATGGAGTCCAACACAGCCTAGGGTTTCCCTTCTTACGTAAACAGTTTCGCACAAAAGTGCACAAAATGCACATCGTGAGTTTTCAGCCAGATATAAATTTTCAGATATAATTTTTCTTGCAAAATTATATAACTTTTTACTTTATTCTTAGATTTAGCATTTTTTTAGCCTGTGCAATTTGTGTAAAAAATGCGAGACTTTGACGACAAATATTTTATTTTTTTGTAATATTCTACATATTGATATTCCAAAAGATTTTAAATTATTAAAGGTGTGATTAATGGAGTGATTTAATGCTCAAAGTGTAACTTTACGAAGAAAATCGGATTGATTTCCCTCCAAATTTTCATTCTGCTTATCAAAAACTTGCAAAAACGTGAGACAAAACTGTTCCACCAAGTACAAAAATCTGTGATCACTAATTTAGTCGTATTTCTCCCTTTATACACAATTTACCCTAAAAACCTGCATAATATGAAACCCTGTCTATTTCAGGTACCTACACCCACCCGACAAAACGGACCCTGTTCCTTTTCCCTTCCAAATTATGCACGACTTTCTCCCCCATCACTTCAAAAAGTCCATGAGGCATGCACACTCTGCCCCACTTGACAACAATCGCATGTATAATGTCAACTTTTCTTTGTCACCAGGACCAGTGAGCCTCCTCCTCCAAATGAATTCATCCATTTTCATCTCATTTTACACAATTGTCACAAATTTAAAATGCAAAAAGTCCACATATTTTATTCCATTTTAACCTGGTGGACTCGCCAAGGATGTCAAAATCCCATCCAAATTTGCTATATGAAAACTTACCCGTTATCAACTTCACGTTTGAAAAATGTAATCAAGTCCAAAAATCCTTACTTCCTTCATAAAAGATTTTATTCCTTTTATTTCATCCCAGACAAAAAAAAATCTCCACTTTCTCTCTTCCCGAATATCAAAGGGAGCACGAGTTTGTCATTAGTCCAATATTTTCGAGACACTCGAGCAGCAGCAAAGCAAAGAAATAACGAGACACGTTATTTTATTTCTTATTCGAGGAAAATGTTAGGTATTTCTATCTCCGAAAAAAAGTCTCACAAGTTTTTTTTTCTAGCGTGCTAAAACTTTTCTCTTAATTAAATATTTAGCTCGTATTTATAATTCCTGTATAAACTTTCACGACAATTAGAACATTACTTTTAACCACAAAGTTAACTTTTCACTTTAAACAAATCCTCATAAAATCCGTAAAAATGTGTAAGTAATCTTTCAACTCTTGCGAAGAAAGAACCACCAAAAATCCAAATTTTTCTCACAAAAAGTACAATATCCTTGAAACAAATCTCTCTAAAATATTATATCATACAGAAAAAGAACCAAACTTTTCATATTTTTCCCACCTTTCAAACTTTCCTCGAAGTAAAAAAATCCAACCTTTTTTACCAGAAAAAAAATCCGACTTTCACTTTTTTTAAACAAATTTTAAAAAGGATTTCTTTCCACTTTTTTATATTTTATAAAATCATGTACACGGCCGAAATAAATCCCAATTCTTCCACTTCTTCTTCCACATGCAAGGATGTTTTACTGGCAACGTGAAGACGCAGACTAAACGGAATCCTTTCTTGGTTGGTTGTATGGCAAAATATGACATGAGATGAGATTGGATTTTATGTATGTACAGATCACACGAGAGAAGCTAACCTCTCTCTCCTCGTACATGGACAGGATTCAATTCATATCTCTCTTTTTACTTGCTGATTACTATCGTCAAAATCCAATCCAATCTACTCTTCGCAACCTACAGGGCTGACTCGTATTTAATAACCCGTTGGACAAATAATATGTAATCAACTGCAACGAACGAACTGAGGTAGGATTTTGTATGCAGGCAGAAAACGAGGCGACGACGACGACGACAATGACGAAGAGATGATAATGAATGGAATGGATGGAGAGTTTGTATCGTATGCAGGCAGGCAAAGGAGAGATGAGATACATGCATAAATGGCAAAAAGTGAGGGAGACAGGAGATTATTTATGTATTATGTATGCATTATCTGGGATGACAATGTCACTTCCTATGATGCGGTGTTAAATAGGTGGGTGAGTAAAAATGGGTATGAAGTGTGAGTAAATCCTCAGACTTTTTTGGGATATAAGTGATGTTTAGTATGCAAATTTGTCATAGTTAGGGATGTATGTACGTGCGAAAAATTGTGCATGTAGTCAAAAGTTTTTGGGAATAAAATGAGATGCAACATTTTACAATGTTTTAGGACAAGATTGTTTATGAAATTTTGTTGCAGTTGTTAAAATTTGGGAACTTTTGTGTCGTAAATTATGTATGCTGGTGTGTATATTTATACATATGTACACTGTGACATACGTAGATATGTACCATAATGATGGTACGTGGTCTATATTGGTAATTAAAACCGTGTAACTAACTAAAATACACTCTAAATAAAAATGTGGTAATAATTTGCTACCGTGCCCGAGTATGCCGATTTTGGAATTAAATATATATGTATATCTCTTATCTCGAAATGCTTGATCCCCACAAACCTGATTCCACGGTTTCGTTTAATTAAAATTTGATACTTTTACAAAATCGTCGTTGCACCACACCAAATTATTATTTTTTTTGCAAACTTCGTAAAAAATAGTATATCATCATTAACGCTAATATCATAAGTAAGATCATTTACGCTACATTTGCATACTAATTCTAAGACAATTTCCCTCTCGGTGAAACTACTACCAAACCGGTAACGATTTTTTTTTCAACCCGATACCAAACATTTCCCAAACTAACCTAACCTTTCCCCTGTAACGCAATCTTACCAATTATTTATTTAGAGTGTTCTCCTTGGCACTGCAGCAGTGAATTTGAGCGAGAACAGAATAATAATAAGATTTAATTAAATCCAGCGAGTGAGGGACGAGAGAATTACATTTCGTGGTTTACTCCCATCGACATCCTCTCTCCAAACTTCGTCCAAGTCGAAATGCTTCCCAATATCCATCAACATTTACACTAATTTCCCCACGCTTAACAATTCCCCCGGATAATAACGACCTCTTAAAAGTATAACAATTACACTAAAAAAAGAACACAATTTCCTCTAAGTGTACCAATTTTAGGCATTACAGCGATATTTTTATGTTCCTACTTAGAACGTAAAATAACTCGTGCAAAATTTTGGCAGAGAGAAGAAGACTCCAATTTCCTCGCTAAATAAGTTAGTTAGCATATTGACGAGAGAATTGATTTAGTTTTCGCTACTCAGTGGTAGTTTTCTGTCAGGATACACATGTATCTTTCTGGATGAGATACATACTAAAATTCATACCAAATTGATTTAGCTGTGGCAGGCATTCTCTGGTTGAAATATTCATGAAAATGTTAGAGATACTTGGGTTACGTTCATAGATATTTGCAAGAATATGTTCGCTAATTTTCCATGTATTTAATAGAGCATTGTGTTCGAGGAGAGAAGAAGAGAAGGGCAAATGCATAAGTGGACTTGTCAATCTTAATGGTTTCGTACTTGAATGTAATCTTTGTATCGTATCGTGTGTATCAATTCATATCACGAATCACAGCAGAGGAACAAATGTAATGTGTGTTTTTTTGAGAGAGATTTGCAATTGTGCAAATAATTTTTTTGCATGGATGGATGGATAAATAATGCATTTCCCTTACATAATAATTTATGTATTGAATGTAAATAATTATTTACAAATATGGTCAGATTTAATATCATAATTTGCTCCATTTTTGGGCTAAGTTTCGTAAATCATAATTTGGGTGGTCATTTGATTTTGTTTGTGGCTGTAATTCTATTGAAGTCGTGAAAATGTAAATGCTATAGATTTAGCACGCTAAATAAATGTGTAAAAATTCGTTACCGGCCGGTGAAGATATAAGCATGTAGGATTTTACCGGTAAGCATAGCCAGATTACCGGTAACCGATATTACCGGGTCCATATTATTTCATAGAATGGTAACAGATATGAATTTCTCGGTAAAAAAACAATTTCTAAACTCGGTAAACTCAGATATGCATACTGACTACCACCGCCCGGTAACAAATTGTTGCCTCATTATTCAGCGTGCATTTTCCCTCCTCCATTTTCCATCTCTTTTACATCATGACTTACAAAGCCGAGATGAGATTATTATCCTTCGATTAGTCTCCTTTATGCTGTAGAAGACTCATAAAAAAGTTGAGTTCATTCTGGTTCGTGTCGTATCTGTATCGCATCTGAAATTGAGTCTGCGAAAAAGATAGCAGCAAAATGCACAAGTTTACTGAACTATCCACTAACTAAACGGGAGTGCATTTCCATTGCCAATTATGGGACTAATAATGACGGATGACGACACTGCGGCTAAATTTCTTACCTAAATGCTGCTAGTATATATGTATACCAATTAAATCACGCCTTTTAATGGGTAGACATGCATTGCATTTCAATCTTGGCACTCTAAATGATGTGGTAATAAATTTTTTGTAGGTAGGTACTTACAAAGTATGCTTTGTTGGTAACAATTTATCACCGAACGGCTGACATAATTGCCGCCAAAAATCCAAAAATTTGTCACCGGATTGATCCTCGTGATAATCCTAGTTTGAATTTTGTCTAATTTCCGGGAAATTTCAACATGCTACAGACTTCACTTTGAGGGGTGACAAATATGAGTTCTGCGAAAATTGTTGGTACTAAATCGTTACCAGACGGTAGCGAACACAACTACCCACCCACACTAATTTTATTACCACATTATTTAGCGTGTATCTCCCTCCTAAAACCAAAATCCATCCATCTCTCACATCCCAACTAACTTTTTTCCTCCATGAAATGAAACCAGGCACGACGCTAAATCTGACGGACGGACCAGATCAATCTAATTTGTACCAGTGAGAAAACAAAAGATTATTTTTAGCAACAAGACAATGGTCAAACAGCACATGCACTAATGGAATATAATGTATGAATGAGCTAATAAGCCACACACACTACGAACCAACTAATCTTAAGTAATGGCATCTTGCTTGGCTAATTTCGGATGGTTTTCCCGACCCAGTAATGAGACACGTTTTCCGTCTCTTTTCCTTCTCGTCTGGTCCAGAATGCACTGAAAATGAGCACTCATAACCAAACCAGACTTTCGTCACGAAAGTTTGAAGTAATTACTATTTACTTGGAGAGATAAATGGTTACTTATTTTACCAGTCTGGACTGTGCTATTACTGGAAATTTGAGATAATTCGAGTCGTAATTGTTGCGTGGAAAATTACAGGGATTTTTAAAAGTGTAGTGAAAATTTCCTGAAATTTAATGTAGTATTTTTTGTGTAATAAATCAGCATTTTTTAAAATTTTATTTACGCAGTTTACAAAAAAAATTGGTGTATTTAAGCGACGATTTTGTAAAATGTATAATTTTAATTAAGCATTAATAATATCAGGTTCCTTTATGATCCAGTACCGTAAAGTCTAAAATATGGATTTAAAAATTTTATATTTTTTTTGTCGAATTAGATATTTCTGAAAATAATCTAAATTTTGATATTAGATTTTTAAGAGTATATTTATTTTAGCAACTATATTATACATAATCTTGACTGGATAAGAATTGTGTAAGTGTAATTTAAAGATTTACTACATGTTCATTCCCAGCCAAGCCTTAGCCAAGAACCTAAGTATGAACCTAGTAGAACCCTAGTAGTAACCTAAGTAATTCATTTTGATGACTTAATTTGACCATACATAATTTGATGCCGGTGCTCTACAGACAAAGATGCAGCAATTTTCCCATTCAGAAATTAAATGGTAATTTACTTTAGTCAAATCACTAATTAACAAGAGGCATTAGTGGATGGCGGAGATTTATATTTATTGCCAAACTGCTACGAATTTGCATAAATTAAATGCAAATAATGCCATTCAAGTGTCACGTTGCGTAAGATGGTGAGGATTTGTTGTTTCTGCTTAATACGGCACGTAGCCCGATAGTTATCAAAATTTGCATGTGCAAATACGTGAAGATAGGATTTGATCATATTTTGCGTAAATTTTGCATGCTGTTATTTTTGGCGTATTTATTTTCGCAAACTCATGTGCACAATTTAATTTCAAGAAACTATCTCAACATCTCAAGCTAGATTTTGCAGTTTGTTTCTACAGAATAAAATTACCGACCTGTAACACAAGCAAGAAATGGAAGTAGAAGCTTCATTCGCTTCAAATGCATACTCGCTAATTGACAAAACTAACATTTTCGCTATATTTAGCGCAAACTTAGCACAAAATCAGGACTAGAATATTTCGCTTATTTAACCTTTGTGATCTTTCGTAGTTATGATCATGTTCATACAGAATGTCTGCGTTATTAAATCATTTATGCTCCCCATAGTCTAAACAATTATGTAAATAACTACGTATTATCTATCGGTGGTAACAAATCTGAATTTCTCGGCAAAAAATTATTACCGATTGGTCACATATGTATCACCACTGGGTGTAAATGTTTAAATCTTCCAAAAAAATCGATGACACTCTTTATGCCCGGTCCGCAATTAACCTTCCTTTAAC